GCCGAAATTTATTAGAAATAACGTCTCTTTTGATAAACGACGAGCGTCTTGGTGAACAATCAATCCTTGTAACTTTTGCCGAAGTGCGAAATTGTTTTGTATTTACGAGCGATCTTTGTTATTAATTTTTTTGCTGTAAATTATTGCTTTCATGGAATATACTTATTTCAGTGATCGACAAATGTTTAATGCACGAAGTTTCTCTTTAAAAAACAATTCCAATTTTTGAATAACGAAGAATATTTTGCTGAAAGACATATCTTCTCTTGACGGAACGATAAAAATTTAGTGATTCATTCTTAAGATTCAAACTTATTTTGTTATAATCAAACCCATGAATAGATTAAACTACGATATCCTCTACAGAAATTATTATGCATGTGAAATGAAAAGTCATCTTATTATTCAAATTCATAAATTCCATTCAGTTGTCAAGGTGCACGGAGAAATTAACATCAGTTGAACCGAAATGTTTCAGAAATTGATATTCACATAATTTTAGATTTTTTTCTGAAAATAAACCCTTGGCGCAATAATTAAAAGTGGCTTCAGTTGACTAGCGTACAAATTGCAAGATTGGTTTAGCCTTTAAAAACGATCAATTTTGCTTATGAATCAACTCAATCGTGTTATTGATACGCATTCAATAACACATAATAAATATGTATCCAAATTATCAAACATCTTTCACGACATACAAGCTTCTTTAATTGTTGACGCAACCGGAACTCATAAATTCGCAATTTTCAATAATTTTGCGATGTTGCGAATGTTATGTTGGAGGGTTCTTCGTACGTTATTCAATCCTCCTCCTTGAAAATATCATGTATCAGCACAAAATTCATTCAGGGACATGAATAACTCTTCGTTTGTTTTTAAAGTTGACTTTATAAAATGCAATTTAAACTGAGGCCTTCAAGTTAAAAGTTTCGAGGAATGCACTTGGTATGCAAGGTGCTATTTTATGAAGGCTCACTTGGATCCTTTTTTGACGACAGAAGCTCCGAGTTCAAAATTTGTTGTCTCAATACTAAAGTTGGTATTCATTCGGGGTAAATTTATGCAATGATGTGGAAGCTGAACTTTAGTGATGCAGTTTGACCATTTGCAAATATAAAGAAATTTGGAGTTACAAAGGAGCAGAAATAAATGTATGTATGTATGACTAATAGCATGAACCAATAGCACGTTATGAGTGATATCTAATGTAAAAAGAAGACGATATTAATGTTATTATAATCAGTACTACTAATGCTAATAGTATCGTTATCAATAGTATTATTTTTTATAATCAATTTATTGTAAAAACTATAACTATTATTTATTATCAAATGGGCGTCACGTATCAAAAAACCTATTACCGTTAAAAATGTTATTAATTAGTTCTATTACACAATTTACAGGTTCATAATAGACAGAAGTCAAAAGCATTTGATAACAATAAAGCGCAGCACGTTAAAAAGATTTTTCCGCAATATCATGTAAAAAAATGAATACTCATTTCAAGTTTTCTAGATCTGAGCTCTATTTAAATTTCCGGCGAAAGATCTCATGCGTGGATGATCTAAACTTAATGTGATTTTTCGAATAAATCTCATCCCTTGACGTTTGTTTCTTTCACTGCGGATGATATTGATGAAAAATAAAATACATTAATGAGATGCGCACAAAACGTAGCAATATTTTAAACAAGTTTAAATATTGTGAGGAAATTAAAAAATATTAAATGGTTCCTAGTCTTGGCAAATGGCAATCTCCTTTGTTCCTAATACATAGTAACTTTTTCATAATTTTTTTCCGAATTTTCTGAGTTTTAATAAACTAAAATAAAATATAATAGTTTGCCCGGCTCTTGCTAGGAAGGTATTTTGTTGTGACATGAAATTATAAATTATCTTTGATTTCAAGACTGATGAGTCGCTGGTTGAACATTGTCATATCTTGGGACTATAAATCCTAATTTAAGCTGAAATGAAAACGTTTCCTCATCGTTATTATTTTGTAAAATATGTATAGGCCTATTAAAAATTTGAACCTACATTAGATTACAAAATTATAAATGCCTGAAAATTCTCGTCATTCAATTCATCAATACGATAAATAACTACCTATTGCTTCCCTGGAGGTATCTGTTTTCGAATTATTTATATCCCAATTTTTATCACTCGGTACATTAGCTGCCAGTACGTAAATCCAGATCAATCTTCATTTAACTTCCCAAAAATTCGTTCAGCAGGAACATTTTTGACACTTGCAGTAAACCCCGATCCCTAGAAATCGTCTATGTCTGTGCCATAATCCGGAGGTAGAGAAGATAATCTGTTAGAGATAAACCCTTTGATTAAAAAAATTCGTTCTGAACTCCAAATGTCAGCGGAATTGCGCCCGTAAAAACTCTCGGTCTCTCCAAATTTGAATTCATTTGAGTTAAATTCTCCGTAACTCGGGTGAAAGCTAGAAGCCACTTTTAAAACATTATGGTAAAAATGAGAAATTTTGATAGGCATTGAATTTTTTTGTTCGATTGATCGAAGAGAAAAATTTTTAGAAAGGCAATGGAGGCGAAATGGAAATGGATTGATAGAATTTTCTCTCATGATTTTTCCTTGTTCCTTTTAAAACGAATAATCCAGTTCTCAATGGCTGAAGAAATAGCATTTTTTTCATAAATAAGGCATATAACGTAAATTAGAAGGGTAAATTTTAAGTACATCGGAAAGAATTTGACGCTCATTCGGAAAGTCAAGGTATTTAGGAAAAAAAGTAATAATAATAAACCGCTTCACACATCTCATTGGCTGCACTTGAACGCTGTCGATATACTCGAAAGAGGCTTTTCATCATACATCAAAATTTGGCCATTAGGTTTGGAATCATTTTGAAAAAATTACAATCTTACCTTCATCATTGGAGAATGTTTTCTGGACTATAAATGTTGAATGAATCCAAATTTTGTGCAATAGGTTTTTAAGGCACTGAGGCTTATATATAGTTTTTGAAACCGATGTTTAGAGCAATATGGCTTTGATAAAAAATTGGTGGAGTCCCATCTGAAGCCCTCACTTAAATATGGAGTGTGATATGATGCGTATAGAACGATTAAGCGATCAACCCAAAATATGATATCAACTTCTAAACTTGAAAATGTGAAGTAAATATGGAGCGTCAATTTATCTGCCATAATTTGCAATTTGCTAAATTACTTTCAAATTATGAAATTAGAGTGCATCTTACATTTAAAAACGAAAAGTTCCCTGCAGAAGTGCACCGACATTTCTGCTTTTCCCGCCACCACCTCAGAAGAAGCACTCAACAAGCCAATCTTCGACCAGAGAATTGAGCATGTCTCGGCTCAACTATAAATTCCATTGAAGTTGCTGGTTTTTGAGGTCAGACTTTTTCAGGGAAGAATCTCATCTCAAACAGACGAGTTCTGATTATGATTGTTGCAGTGTCCTTCTCAGTGCAACTATCTTGTTATTTTTTGGTGCTGTAACTTTAGGAGTTTTAACCGAAATTAAACTTTGTAGTTTTTATGTGCATCCGTGAAACGGATACTTCGAGAACCGACGAAGATTTTTGCAAATTATGTGATTTATTGCAATCAACGTAATTTTTATGATACTGCAAAATACCTGTTTTGATGTTTCTGCTCGTATAGCTACGTGAAAATGTAAAAACTGAATAATGTTATTGGGTTACAATTTTCAGAAATGTAATTATTTTCAAAAAAGTATTGTTACTTTTCAAATTCAGGGGAAATCTTTCATCTTAAATTGAATCTCTTGCCATCGAGACAAGGACAGAATTTTTTCTCGTTTTGAGCAATGGCTTCTCGATCCCCTCTGCCAGTTCGATGCCGCGGCGAAGCATTTTGAGCTGGCGAATTTTACACTTAAGAGAAAAAAGTAGCGAAAAAATTTAGGTGATATAACTTCGATCGACAAGCCATTCTTAACCATATATTGCGTAATTAACAAATTTATATTCAAAGGTGTCAAATGAAAACAATTCTGATTAAAGTTTAGAAACAGATATGCATTAGTGAAATTTTTAATTTACTAATCTCACCTTTCCTTATATGTAAAAAGATTAGATCTTGATGTTTTTCATTGGAAAAAAATCTCGAATTGAACCACAAATTTATGTTAATAAATATTACGTATAAAAAACCCTGTCAATGGAATATTATCCAATTGATATTAACAACTTCTGATTCTAATCAATTAACATTAATTTTTAAACATTTTACCTACTTAATTCAGCAAAAATAATGCGGTGAATTTGCCAATTCATCGAAATCACCGATAAATTAATTTTCGAACATAATCGAACTAGCAGACGAATCAAAATCACATCAAAATACTATTCAAAACATTTTTTATTATATTTAGTGATAATGATGCATCTGATTCTTTAAATTCTCTGTATAAAATTCATTCCCACTCATTTCTCCCGCTAAATTTAGCGACAATTCTACCAGCTCCAGAACTTACCCTGTTTCAAAATTTCAACGGCCGTTCGCTGAGAAATTCAATTCAGTACATTTTTTACCAGATTTAGCGACAAAACTCCAGCAAATTCATTAAAATTCCTAAAAAAAATCCATTCCCACCTATTTATCCCGCTAAATTTAGCGCCAATTCTACCAGGTCCAAAACTTACCCGGCTTCGAAACTTCGATGGCCGTTCGCTGAGAAATTCAATTCAGCACAGTTTTTACCAGATTTAGCGACAAAGCTCCAGCAGATGCATTAAAATTTCTAAAAAATTCATTCCCACCCATTTCTCCCGCTAAATTTAGCGCCAATTCTACCAGGTCCAAAACTTACCTTGCTTCGGAATTTCGATGGCCGTTCGCTGAGAAATTCAATTCAGCACAGTTTTTACCAGATTTAGCGACAAAGCTCCAGCAGATTTATTAAAATTTCTAAATAAATTCATTCCCACCCATTTCTCCTGCTAAATTTAGCGCCAATTCTACCAGGTCCAAAACTTACCTTGCTTCGGAATTTCGATGGCCGGGCGCTGAAAGGGAAGCAAATGGCGCGGTATCTGTCCACGGCGATGGCTGTTAGCGTGAAGATGGACACGTTCACGCTCAGAGTTTGGAAGAATGGACAAAATGCGCACATGAAGTACGGCAAGTTCCAGCGCTGGAGCAGAGCAGCCTGGAACTGAAACACGACAATTGTCTTATTGATTACATTGAACAATAATTGGTAATGGGTGGTATTATTTTCAAGTTTAATATTCCGAGCAATTGGACATACATTTTCATAATTTGTGCATTATTTAAGTGAAAATTTAACATAAATTATACATAATATGAATAAGAGCTATGCAACCGTTAATAATGTTTTTAAATTAAGGCTGGTCAAACAGCTTGCCTAGAGCCCTGTCCGTGTGAAGTGAATTTTACTGGAGTTTCAATCAAACTCTGTGGCCATACTTACTTCCAAAATTCGCTAAGTGAACGTAAGTAGTTACGCTCTATTTTCTTGTCTATGATTGGTGGATTTTGCTTGAATGGCCGTCAATGATTGGCTGATGAACTTACGATCTCTTAACTTTTTTTGAAAGTATAGGCCATGATCAACAAGGCTACAGACATAAATATACACTTAGAAAAGTTGATGAGTCATATTGTCTACTATTAACTCACTTTCTTACCCACAGCAAGGGCAGAAAACATATATACGTGGCATTAGCACTAACACGACACGTTGTCAGGACCTATACTTTCAAAAAAGTTAAGAGATCGTAAGTTCATCAGCCAATCATTGACGGCCTTTCAAGCAAAATCCATCAATAATAGACAAGAAAATAGAGCGTAAGTACTTACGTTCGCTTAGCGAGTTTTGAAAGTATGGCCCCTGGCCAATTCAAAGTCAGGATGGCCGACAAAAGGGTAAAAAATCTAGCGGTTTTTGGACAATTTTTCACTCATTTCTCTGTGTGTATGGTCTCAAATAAATGATAACTAAAAAAGTTTCGGGAATTGTTTGCTTCTTATTGAAACTTTTATTTTGCAGAAAATTATTTGAGATCCTGCGGAAAGTCATTGTTCTTAACAATGAAAATTGGTTTTAAAGTTTCCAATTTCGGGAAGTAATACAGTTTTTGCTGGAGAACTTTGAAGCAAGTTGTCTCGGCAAGAATCGACCAAACTTTTTATCTGGGAATTTTCAAAGTTTTAATTCGGGGTGATATCAACTACGGCCATATTTAGTTTTGTTCAAAGCTAGAAATTCAGAATAACATGAACTGTTAGCATTAAATATTTCAGGATTCTTCTGAGACGAAAACGATAAGAAGAAAAAAAAATAACTTTCAGTCTCCCCGGTCCGCCCGCAACTAATTTCATCCAATTTTCATCAGAGACTCACATTATCTAATCTAAAATTCCAACATCAAAACATGTCAAGCAATAATAAATTATATGTTCTGAAGACCAGGCAGGACAAAAATTATATGACATGTTTATTACATCTTTGGTTATTTTCAAATTGCCAAGGCTCTCAGCAACACGAAAATTGTGGAAAAGACATGCGGAAAAAAATTGCGGAAAAGACTTGAATTACGTTTTATATTGGGCAGACAGACTTGCCTTATAATGTGTAATAAAGATTTCAGATCGTGAGTAAACATGTTCTGTGTACTGAGTTCAAAAATATTAAAAATTGAATAATAATAAAAATGTGCATGGTTAGAAAAGTAATCAGCAACGGTAATCACACCTGAAAATATCAATGACGATGTAGAGAGAACACTAATGTCTACATAATCAAACTTTTTTATTCTACCTGTAGATTCAATTGAGATCAACTATTATGATCGATTCACTTATTCAAATTATTCAACGAATTTGTACTTAATTAAGAATGAGAGGGCAGCACGATAACGATAAAAACGATAAAGTAGCAAACAATAAAGTGACGAAGTTCTTCCTCCAGAACTTCTTGTTGTAGACTAAATTAAAAAGTATCAACAAGTCACTTACTTGAAAAGGTATGCAGAGCAAAGCAATGATGATGTCGGCGAGTGCGAGGTTAGCTATGAAATAATTTGTGACCGATTGCAGGAGTCTAGACGTGGCCACCACCCAAATAACTAGAGCGTTCCCTATCACTGCCACTAGGGAAATAAGTCCGTAGAACATTGAGAGCAAGACAACGATGCCTGTTGGAACTTCGTACAAAGCTTCTTCAGGGGTAACTGAACTATGACTTGAATGGTGCCATGGCCGATGCGTGGCTTGAAGTTCGGAGCTCAGATTCACAAGTAAGTTCTGCCATTGATCAGGAGAAGAGGCATCTTGATGTGTAAAATTATGCGCCATCTTGTAATACATTAGGATTTGGTAAATTTGCTGCAGGATTTTAGGATCGATGTTGGAGCCGTTCGTCAGAAAATCATGAATATTTTGGCTAGTAGGCGATGAGTAATTTTGCGACAAATCATGATTGTTCAGTAGAGAGCTTTCATAAGTTGATGAGTAGCTCCCATTAGGGAAAGCTAGATAATTATTATTGGGAGTCATTGGTGCAAACGTTTTTACAGACTACATTTAAAATACTTATCCAGTGGAGATTATTCTTTTTATAATAAATTTCAGCTGTTATTTTCTACACTTTAGTATGATACTTTTTTCATTGATATAATTATTCAGTTTCAGATCTTTCCCTGGGAACAACACTATTAAAAATGGAATCGTGTTAATATTTCATGAATATGTATTTGCCTTGTTTTTCTTCATAGCAATGAATTAACGAGCATTGAACAAAATTGACTGAAAACAAATAGAAAATATTTTCAATAATCTTTTTCTAAAATAACTCAAATTTACAGGGTTTTTATTCCTGAGAGTATTGTAAGGTTATCACTGTCTGCAAAAAGAAAAATTAAAACATCAACACTTTGTAAAAAAGACAATCAAGCAAGATTAGAGTCAAGCAAGATTAGAGAGTTCGTTTATTTAATCTTTCGAAAACTTCTCAGGTATTAAAATAATCATTGTTTTTGTCTATTTGTATTTCAAATTGCAATCTACAATCTAAAGTTGCTTTGATTTACACTTCATTGTTTCGACGTTTCAAGACGTCAGCTAAACCACATGCAGGCTTTTTAGCGCATTTTATCATTTATGGGAAAAAAGCAACATTGTGCTCGTCATGTTCGTCCGTCTGTCCGTCTGTCTGTCCTTCCGTGACTTCACGTTTTCGTCGACGAGAAAATGCGCTCTCTTTCACTCACTACAGTGAGTACTGAGTTATATTTTTCTAACGTTTAGTCATTTACCAGAAAAGCAAACTCACTAAGAGCATTAAGCCGGCTTATAAATTCTTGCTGAATTACTCTGGCTTTCGAAAAAGATTTGAACTAAAAGTTTCGATTTTCTTGATGCAATCATTGTTCCATCTTCAAATTTTTTGATTTACTAACACGATAGAATTGTCTGGAATGAAATTACTGCCAAAATTGCTGTTCCTAGAATAATAAAAAAGATAATATAAATAAGATTAATAAATATTATTACTATACATATCGACATTTTACCTATAATAATGATAATATATGTGGATATAGTTAGTTAATGATAATGAGTTTGTTAATGGATATAGTTAATGATAATATATGTGGACTCGTATGTCTCAGTGAATAAAGCCAATTAGAGAGTTCTATTTTATTTTAAGTAGAGTTCTGTATATTTCTTAATTGTTATTCTAAAAATTTATTGAAAGAAATGCAAATTGTTGGCAACGAAAAAGTAAAGGTACGTTTTTGGGTATTTTTTCTCTCATTTTCGTTAGCTTTAATTCTCGAATGCGAATTACTCGTGCAGAACATCATCATTATGAGTTTGCATTTGATTAATTATTGTGGTTTAGAACATATGGTTTTATTGGTATGGCGATTAAAATTTTCATTAAATCCACCCTTAATTTAACTTCATAATTGTAGCTAGCCTACAATGTTTTTAAACAAACTTATAAAAAGTTTAAATGTGTAATTTTCGAAAATTAGCTCGACTTCGATTCAAATTTGAATTTGATTCAAAATCAAATTTAACTAAATAGGTACAGTATGTCATTGTGGCGTCGTTCATACGCCCGTCTCTCTGTCTCTGTCCATACAAGGAATAAATAGCCAACGCAATCTGATGTTGAACCTGTTAGGCCGTACGTTATTCATCCTTGTGACCTGGTACTTACTACGCGGTACTCCTATAGGAACTATGTAAGTCTAAGTAACCTATAGTAACTAAAAATCTTTCAACTTATTGTTTTCTCCATAATTGTGTTTATTGTAAAAGCGTGTTAACGTTGTTTCTGGTTCATGTGTATAAATGTTTTGTATTAGTGTTTCATAGGTAATTTCCATAGTTGTGCTCTATTTACGAGTAAAGTGGAGACCCCCGTCCATCTTCTTTACTCCATACGAGTTAACTGCCCGAAAGAGCGTACGACATGAACGGCTCGCTCGGAACAGTCATAATATAACAAAACTGCATTTAGCATAAATAAACTGCATTTAGTGTAAAGTGTAAATAAATAATGTGAGGGAGACAATCCTTAGTTTATTTATTCAGCCATATCACAGGAGAATTGTTTTAACGGATATTCGTCAATATTCCCCAATTTCCCGGTAGCTCGAAAACGCTGTGTTTGCATAGATTATACTGACACATTAGGTTTTAATCTTTAGACGGCTACTACAGTAAAATGTAAGCCCCTCCCTCTCTCTCAAAAAAAAAAAAAACATTCCGTGCGCAACTTTCGAGTGTCAATTTTATGAAAAAAATATAACTCAGTACTCACTGCAGTGAGTGATAGAAAGCGCATTTTCTCGTTGACGAAAACGTGCACGGACGGACAGACAGACGGACGGACGGACATGGCGAGCACAATAGTGCATTTTTTCCATAAATGAGAAAATGCGCTAAAAAGGAGAATAAATTTGTGTTCATTTTTTTTATTTTAAAATGGGTCTCATGCGGTGCATAAACATTTGTGTCATTAGGCTGTACATTAAATTTTTCGATGCCTCGACGCGAAATTCAGATTAATTATCAAAAAATTTTTCTTAGAGTTAAATCACACAGGACATTATAGATGTTAATGAGTTTTTAAGTGGTGATTGAAATAATTTTTCTCTTTCTCAACGAAAATCTTCAAAGATGCTGAAGGGACAAATTTTTTACAACGAAAAAAATTATTAAAATAACTGGCACAGGTCAAAATGAACCCATGCTTTTTTGAATGAATACAAGCATATTTTTCTGGAAATGATAAATTTGTCTTTATTATTGAAAAAATCTCAAAAATGTAGTGACAATTTTTTTAAAAAGAACAATTAAAAATTTGATTGCCCCACTCGTCTCCTTATTTAAATTTCCAACTTTTTAAATTCGCCAAATAAATATTATTATTAAAAAAATAAATATTTATTAGATAATACGGAGTCGGAATACCGATATCTGCAGCAAAATAACCAAGTTTACAGTGGAAAGCTGCAGGCTATAATACGTTTATTTTGGAAATCATTTACCGGCAACTTTCAGAGTTTTAATGAAAATGCTGACTATGTTCCTGCTTACTCAAGTGCAATTTTTGAAGGTAACATGATATGAAGATGAAGCATAGGTTCACTGGAGTAGCATTTTTGTTGACTGCTATACTTGCAGAATAATATTTCTGAACAGATTTATTTATTCAATTTTTCATCTACTTTTTATTTTTATCTACTTTTTATATTTTATCTTCTTTTTATAGTCCATGAAAGAATAAATTGTATTTTGCTATAAATATCACCGTTATTAGCTAACTTAGCCCAAATATTTTATTTTCCACTCAATAATATAAAGTTTGTTGAATATTTCCTCTATTGATGGGGTGAATAATATTATTTCCTTTATTCATTCCAGTTCGCTAGTCTGACAGTACAAAGAATTCCATTATGCAAGATATTGTGATTTTCTATGGGAATAAAACTTCTTTTAAATAAATTAATTTCCTAGTTTTCAAACAAATTCATTCAATTAATTGAAATGAGTGAACGAAGCAATCATTGTAAATAGCTTTGACATTCTTACCTCACCCGCAGTTCAGAACTTTGCAGTCAGTTTGTTTGTTAAGTCCTTGTGTGTCATCAAACCTTTCACTCGTATTTGTAAATTTTATCAGACAGGAATTCCTCAGATAAATTGTATGTTGGAATTCCATCGTGCTGTGGTTTTTGTCTCCTGCAATGCCGGTTAAATAGTTCGGAGTCAGAGCTGTAAATATTTTTCGAGCTTCCGCTCAAACCGCAACCCCTGTGTGTTTTACTGCCCTAAAGTAAACATGCTGGTTAGAAGGCCAGATTTTTATGAGCCTCTGTAAGCAGGGAAACAAAATGCACTCCGAGTTCGCATTGGTTTTATGAGCCCCATTCATTTAAAACGCAATTTAATTCGCATGTGCGAGGGCGGACCCTAAAAAAACGCCCCATTCATTTCTCGCATAGCTTTAAATACTCGTGGAGTACTGATTATTTTTATTTGAGTGGGAATACATGTTGAGCATTCAGTATATATATTGAAGCACATATACTATTATATATAAACGTATATTATTATTCAGAGCATATATGGTTTAATTCATGTGAAACGTTTCGAGAGTTTTACTGCGTAATTTTTTTAATTGGTTGTTACGAAACAAACATTGAAGCAAATACGTTGTTCACATATTTTTAGTCATTGAAGCAGGTACGTTTCACTGATGAAAATATGTACGCAGAAACTTCACTGGGTCCCTAATTGGTTCTCAGACACAAAAATTTTTAGAGCCTACTGCTATAAAAAGTTGTAATTTTCATGTGAAATTTTATCCTCTACGATAGTTCACAAAACATTGCAATTTGGTTGAAATTTCACTGTACGATGAAGCGCAGGTCGGTCAATATTTTCCTCTCAGTGTCCGGGCGGACAATCCATTATTGTCCGGGTGGACAATCCATTTACTGACCTTAAATAAATCTTCTCATAATAATGTTATCGGGACATTAAAAAGTATTGAGCGTTTAAATAATACCATTGACCATATATTTTGGTAAGTTTAGTTCAAAACAATAATAATTCTTAAGCCAAGGATACGTTTAGGAAATTTGAACTTTTTAAGAATCCACTAAATATCGTCTGTTTGCAGGTATTTGCAGGTTTCTTCATACATCCTTCACTATATATTCCCTTTAGAATCTTTAAGTATTTTTCAGAACGATAAAACGAACTTTTTCTTAAGCGAAATTTTATGAGAATCTTATCAAAACATTTAAATCTATCACAACATCAACAATCGAGTCTAAATTTTATATTTTCGTACGCGATTTTAAATGGCTTCTTGACTCAAGTATATTTAATGTCTCAAATAAACTGATTTCTTTTCTTTTATCTTTGCGCGTTCAACAATCTTATCGTGATCATGGTAGCTGCAAGACACTGTTTGTGCTTCATTGATAACCACCAAACTTTTTTTCCACACAAATCCAATACAAATGAAGCGCAAAAATGTGAAGATATGCAGCGTGCGTGCCATTCCTCTCGCCCACTACCGAAGGCCGCATTGCATTTGTTGTGCTCGTAAGTCGTCAATATTTAGGAGCGCAGCCGACCGACCAGCGGGCGCAGGTTTATAAACAAATCGCAGGAAGCAGGCCAATGGATCCAGCTCTGGGACAAGCTTGCAACGGTTGTCCAATGTCACTTAAAAACCTTAACACTTCAACAACATAA